ACGTGCTAGGCAGAGGCATGTTCTAGGCTCAGTTGAGAGACCCCTAGGCCAGGGCTAGGGGTCCCCCAGGCTCGTCTGGGAAGAGGCAGAGGGGTCCCAGATAGCAAGAGGACACAGGCCATGCTGAGGAACCCCACCAGTGCACGAGTCCGTGCACCAGGCCTCTAGTTATGTATAACAGGATATTGTAAAGATTAAGTTACAAAATTTTTATTAAAACGTTTCTTACATAAAGGTTATATTGGCTAGGCCGCAAAAGTATTCTTTGTGGGCCACCTGTGGCTCCAGGCAGCGAGTTTGACATGCTTGCTGTAACCGTTTTACCCATTCTTATTCCTTTTGCCTACTTCCCCATGTAATCTTCATCCTTTTACCCAATATAAGCAGTTGGCTTCTTTATGGGGGTGGGGTGCAGAGCACATTTTCCCTGATAACTTGCTGCTCTCCCATACTGCAAACATGATACAACCCTGTCTCTGCTTAATTGGCTCAAGTAGTGACAGGCAGCCCTGGACCCATCAGTTGTCCAGTTTCAGAACCACATCTCTATTCACACTCTCCTGAAATGTCTCTATTAAAAGGAGCTCGAGCTAACTTGAATATGGGATTTCCTTGTCTTCTCCTTAGTGTAGCTTCCGAGTCTCCAAGTCCATGCCCCTTCATGCCCATTGTTCTGTCAACCTGCTGAGGTGTTTGCTCCTGCAGGTTCTTACACCTTGAATGGTCCTTCCTCACCTACTGTACATGCTTGAAGCATCTTTATAATTCAAGGCCCAGTTCCCGTGTGACAGTGCCACCAATATTTTACCTGATTCTCCTCTCAGTGATTCAAGATTTCTCTAGTTTCTGAATACTCACTGCATCTTGTATTATCTTTACCCTTGGTGTAACTTGCTGTAATTATTCCATTTTATTTATTTTTTTATACTTTCTTGATTTTTTTACAGAGGAAGGGAGAGGGATAGAGCTTTAGAAACATCGATCAGCTGCCTCCTGCACACCTCCACTACCAAGGTACATGCCCTTGGCTGGAATCAAACCTGGGACCTTTCAGTCCCCAAGCCGACGCTCTATCCACTGAGCCAAACCGGTTAGGGCTAATTATTCCATTTTAAATATTGTATAATTTTCAATGTGCTTGATTTCTTTTGGTATTCCATGTTTTATCCCCCCCCCCTTTTAATTTTGACCTCCTTCTGCCATCTCTCACATCCGCCCTGCCCCCCTCCTCTGACAACCACCGATCTGTTCTCTACATCCATCAGTAGGTTTGCTTTTAGATTCCACTTATAAGTGATATACAGTATTTGTCTCTCTGGCACATTTCACTTCCCATAATGCCCTTGAAGGTCACCCATGGCAAGATTTGGTCCTTTCTTATACAGTTGAGTAATATTCTGATGTGTTTCAATAATCCGGCTGTTGTAAATAATGCAAATAATCATTTTTATCTTTATAATGTACAAAATGTCATGTTACTTGCTGTGTAGGCTTGAACAGGCCAAGAGCCTATATTTGTATGCTTGTTACTCTGCTCTAGAACATTCCCCTGAAACACAAGATCTGATTCAATTCATTTCCCTGCTTTCCCAATGAAACACCGCAGTGTGGCTCAGTTGGTTGAGTATCATCACTTGTTAGTTGATTGATTCTAGGTCTGGGAGGCAACCGATTGTTGATTCCTTCCTCTCTCCCTCTCTGAAAAATCAGTAATAAATAAATAATAAATAAATAAATGTGTTATCTTGGATGGGATCCTAGGACAGAACAATATTAGAAAAGTTAATTATGAATAAAGTATGCCGTTTAGTTTATAATAAGTCTTGGTTCATTAGTTGTGATAAATGTAAGGTACCAACTTAAAATATAACAAGAGAGCATTGCATGGCCCCACCGCAGCAGGGCCTGGGCTGCGTGTGAAGAACAACAGCCTTAGTCAGTTAAGACGCCCGCACGGGCTTTTCGGTGCCCCGCTCCCCCGCTGCCCGGGAGGGAAAGCAAAGCCTCCTCAGACCCAGAGGGAGTCCCACTGCGGTCGCTCCTGCTTCCCCGGCTGCCGCCACAAAAGCTGACATTCAACAAGTTGTTTTCCCCCGAGGGGGTGCACCGTTCCCGGAGGTACTGCAATACCGGGTCGATGCGTGGAGTGGACGGAGCAAGCTCCTATTCCAACTCCCAGCTTCAAAAATACATTTAATATAATGTCCTCGGATAGAGGACGTATCAGATATTAAACTGATAAGAACAGATACTACACTTGATCTTAGCCAAAAGGCCGAGAAGCGATGCCGCCTGCTCCGCCCGCGCCGGCACCCTCCTCGTGCCACACATCTTCAAGGCAGGGTGAGCACGCGAAGCCTGAGCCTCACGCCTCGCCTCATTTCCTTGCGTCGCCCCCAGTGCGGTGGATCCACCAGACTCTCCCGCAGATGGGTTTGTGCTCTCCATTTTCAACCAGAAGTCCCATATCCCTGGTTGTTCCCTGGTTCCCGCGCAGAAGCCATTTCCAATCTGCATGCCCCGCCCCTAACCCCTCCCCTCCCCCCAGGAGCCGTGACCTCCGGGGCGGACTCCACCCTCCCCCCGGCCTCCGCACGCGGTGGCCCCAAACCCGGCCATCCGCATCCCTACCTCCTCCCCTCCCTGCCCGGGCCCTCTCTGCTCGCGTCCGCGCTCTTCCGGCCGGCCGGATTCTGTCCAACACTTGGGGTCCCGGGTGGTTGCGTCCTGAGAAGGGGGTCGCCTGGATTACATTAATCGGAAAGGGGAACATTTTCCGTCGCAAATCCAGGCATTGGAGTCTGAGGCCAGAGCGTGGGCCCAAAGACAGAGGTGTAGTAAATAAAGCACGGAGGGCGACTCGGGGGGTGAGGGGACTGGTTGGCACCCCGCTGACCGGCCCAGCACCTGGAGCTTATGATCCGGGCCACGGAAATGCCCCAGAGAAAGCTTGCTCTTTCCTGCCGTGATCGCCCCTGGCCTGAGACTCGGACGCACGTGGAAAGCAGTTGGCAGCGTGGCACTGGAGCCTAACCTCCTTGGGACGTTTGACTACTGACTGACAGGTTTCCTGGCCTTACGCACCGCACCCCCCAGACACAGCCAGTCCAGCCCCCTCCAGCCCCCGGAAGCAGGTACCTCGCAGGCCGCTGAGACGCTAGCCCCGAAACGACCTCCTTGGTGGTTAAGTGGTGCTACCCACTCCCAGGACCCTTAGGAGGAGGAAACTTGGGGGAATCCACACAGTTCTGTCTTTGTACCAGCGGTTTTCCCCCCGAGGGGGTGCACCGTTCCCGGAGGTACTGCAATACCGGGTCGATGCGTGGAGTGGACGGAGCAAGCTCCTATTCCAACTCCCAGTTTCAAAAATACATTTAATATATTGTCCTCGGATAGAGGACGTATCAGATATTAAACTGATAAGAACAGATACTACACTTGATCTTAGCCAAAAGGCCGAGAAGCGATGCCGCCTGCTCCGCCCGCGCCGGCTCCCTTCCCCCCCCGCCCACATTGCACTCACGGTGAGCCGGATCACCGGCAGTCCAGGTCTCACTTCCTTTGCTTCCTTGGCAGCACCATGGCACTCACCAGATGGTAGACTCTTGTGCCGGTGTTTTAATCCTCTATATTTTTAAAGAGAAATTTTATGTCTCTTGTGGCGCCGTCCTTTGCGGGAGGTTGGGCGGCAAACGGCATTTCTAATTTGCATGCCCCGCCCCTGGAGGCGTGGCTGCGGCGGGCGGACTCTCCCCGCGCCGCGGCTCTGAACCCGAGCTGGTGGTACAGGCTCAGAGAAAGGACGGAGTGTGAGGGGATTCGCGCCGGGCGGGCGGCGGGAGAGGCCAGTAGAAGGGGCTGCTGGCAGAGGGGTTTCCTGAAGACAGACAAGGCGCTAGGGACGCCCAGGCTGTCTGTATTGCGGGCGACTTGGCCGCCCGCCCGCCCGCCCGCCCGGCGGAGAGCTGAGCTCCGAACCTGCCTTGTCCCATAAGGCGCTCCTTCCGAGTCCGGGGAGCGCGAGGTCCGGAGGGGGCTTTCCCCGGGGGGGGGCC